AAAATATTTGTGTAGTTTTAAAGGTAAATAAAATATTTGTGTAGTTTAATTAAAGTTTTTTTCAGTCGCTGTTTGTTTTGAATCCAAACTTTTTGCTGAAATCGTTTTTTCTTTCTTTCTAAAGAAAATGTTTTTTCCATGAACCTAAAATGTAAAACATTCAGACAGGACATGGGACAAGGTCGTCCTGAGGTTTTCCTCCTGTCCCAGGTCCAACCAGACCAGAGACCCGTCTCCACTGTCCCATGTCCCTGTTTGTCCTAGTTGAAATGTGTCTCCTGCACGAGGACAGCGGCTCCAGCAGTCCTGGGTTTGTCCTTAAGGACAGTTTTTGCTCCAGGTTTCTGGTCGAGGACATGACCCCCTCCTGCAGGTTCTGGGACATGTGGGTCATCAAATCTTCAGAACTTCTGCAGTCCGATCTTATTTTTTACTTTTCTAGTCCAGACATCACTTAGTTCAAATGTTCTCGTGGACTTTTCTGTCAGTTCTGGTTCAAAGTGACACTAAAATAATCTGAAATGTCAAAGTCAGCACAAAGTCCGAACCTCCGTCCTGCAGGTGGCTCGGTGTGACCTCCTCTGGACTCCCGGCCCGGCCCGTTTGCGGTCAGCTGCCCCTGAGCCTCCGGCAGCGGAACCTGTGCCTCAGGAAGCCGTTCCTGGTGCCGAGCGTTCTGGACGGGGCCCGGCTCGCCGTGTCCGAGTGTCAGAACCAGTTCAGACTGGAGCGCTGGAACTGCTCCACATCCCCGGAACCGCCAGTGTTCGGACACGAGTTGACGAGCGGTGAGTTCTGCAGAACCAGAACCTGAAGTCTGTTAGCCTGTGACCTGTGACCCCTGAGGACAACTTGACCTTTGACCTTTTCAGGAACCAAAGAGAAAACATTTACTGCTGTCCTCTATTTTAAGGAAATGTTCTGTCAAAGGTCAAAGGTCAAAGGTGACTGAGTTTCTCATTCTGCTCATTTTATTGATTTTTTTTTTCTGACAGGAAGTCCAGATATTCATCAAAATAAAAGCAGTTCAGTGAGACAGTTTCCATTTTAGGATATAAATAAAAAATGTTGTAAAGTTTGATTAGAGGAGCGCAGACAGGAAGTCAGGTTTCAGGAGCAGCAGATAAACCTATCAAAATAAAATGCCTGTCCTAACGATGCCGTTTGTTTTATTTTGAAGGAACCAAAGAAACGGCGTTCATTTACGCCGTCATGGCGGCAGGACTCGTCCATGCCGTCACGCGCTCCTGCAGTCAGGGCAACATGACGGAGTGCGGCTGCGACGCCAGGCTGCAGGGCGGCGCCGGCGGGGGGTTTTCTGCTCCGGCGCAGAGCTGGCACTGGGGGGGCTGCTCGGACCACATCCAGTATGGAACCTGGTTCAGCCGGAGGTTCATGGAGAACACGGTGAAGAACATGTCGACGAGCCGCGGCGGGTACACGCTGAGCACCACGAACCAGCACAACGGAGAAGCTGGGAGACAGGTGAGGACCACTCCGACCCTTGACCCCGACCTTCACTGACTCCTGATGCAGGACCAGTTCTCAGCTGGGGACAGGTTCTCTGCAGAACCACATGGAAATCTTTCAGTTTATGAATCTGATGGCAGAGATGTTTCGATCTGAAACTTTTAACTGAACTTTGAATTTATTTAGAACTGGTCCTGTCCTAAAGAGCAGTCCTGAGTCCAGTCCTGACTCTAACCCTGAGTCTAGCTCAGGTTCCAGCCCTGTGTCTAGCCATGAGTCTAACCCCGAGTTCGGTCCTGAGTCTAGCCCTTGGTCCAGTTCTGGGTCCAGTGGGAACACCTACTTCCTGTTTGGCGTAGTCACATGGGGCAGCTGGCGGTGCAACGCTGACAAACCAGTGGTCTTCACCCGAGTCCCCGAGTCCAACTGTTGGATCAAAGACGAGACTGACGACCAGCGAACACCTGAAATCTGGACCGGGTTTACGGCCCTGTCGGTTCTCAATCAACAGTTTGTCTCAAAGATGAAGATTCAACACAATCTGCTGCTTCTTTAGAGAGAGAACTTTACGGATCGGCTTTTATAATGTGTGAATGTTTTTGTGCTGTATTTTATTTCATCCAACCTTTATTTCTACAGGTTAGTCTCACTGAGACTCGAGGACTCATCTCCAACAGAGACCTGATTTAAACGAAAACCAGATGAGGTGCAGACAATAATCATATAAAATGAAAAGTAAATAGAAGAAATGACATAAAAACTAAAAAAACAGCTAGATTCTAAGGCGAATGTAGAAACTAAAAACAGGAACATCTGCAGGAACTGAACAGATGTTTGAAGCCACTTAGAGAGGTCAAAGGTCGAGAGCTTCAGATCTTTTTACAAGATATTCCAGGAAACAGGAGCGGAGCAGGAGAAGGTCCTTTTGTCTAGTTCAGTCCTCACTGAGGGAACACTGCAGGTAATGATGTCCTGAGAGCGCACGCTGTAGCTGCACTCACACAGAGACATGTAGGAGGAGATGTATGAAGGCAGCAGACCAGGAAGTGATTTAAAGATGAAGATGTACCAGTGAGAGAGTCTGTGTGAAGTTAATGGTGACCAGTTAACCAGTGAATACTGGGTGCAGTGGTGGGTACGGTAGTTACAGCCAGGTATGAATCTTAGTGCACCATGATAGACAGCATCCAACATCTGCAGCATCCAACATCTGCAGCATCCAACATCTGCAGCATCCAACATCTGCAGGGTTCTTGTAGGAGCGTTCATGTAAATAATGTCACCGTAATCAATGGAGGGAAGGAAAGTCACAGATACAAGGTGTTCCTCAGGGTTCAGGGTTAGACAGGATCTGTTTCTGAAAAAGAAACCCAGTTTAACTTTCAGTTTCTTTACCAAGTTTTCCACATGGAGCTTAAAAGAGAGATGAGAGTCGACCAAGATACTCAAATATTTATAGGAATCAATAAACTCAATGGGGACACCATTTGAGGATAAAATCAGAGGAAGAACTGCTGGGACTGACTTCCTGTTTGAAAAAGCATCCCTTTGGTTTCATCAGCATTTAGGACAAGTTTGAGGCGAAACAAATCTGTCTGGATGATGTTGAATGCAGATTTCAAAAGCTGGAAAGCCTTAGCAACAGTTTTAGCTCGACAATAAACAACTGTGTCATCAGCATAGAGATGTAAGGATGCATCAGGGATGCTCTGACCTACATTATGTATGTAGATTGTAAAGAGGGTGGGTCCTAAGACTGAGCCTTGTGGTACACCATTGTTGACTGTTAAATAACTGGAGGAAGTACCGTTATGTTGAACACATTGCCTCCGGTCTGAGAGATAGAGAACCTACCAATGGTGTGATCTGAGAAACCGATTTCTGAGAGTTTATGACACAAGATGTTCTGATCCACAGAATCAGAATCAGAATCAGTTTATTATCGCCATGTCAGTGAACGAGGTTCACAAACTAGGAATTTGCTTCGACATAAGGTGTGAATAGTAATAAAGTAAAATAAAGTAAAATTAAAACCATAACATAACCATATGTACACCCATACAATAGAAACAATAAAAAGCTTAGAGAACAGTACAGATGGAGTATTCAGTTATAATACAGATGTAATGTGACCAAAGCAGAAATTATGAGGTAGCATTATGAGTGTTCAGGAGTCCAACAGCAGAGGGGAAGAAACTGTTCTTATGGCGGGAGGTTCTGGTCCGAATGGACCGAAGCCTCCTGCCTGAGGGGAGTGGTTCAAACAGTCCGTGTGCAGGGTGAGCAGGGTCAGCTGTGATCCGACCTGCTCGCCTCAGTCCTGGAGACGTACAGGTCGTGGAGGGATGGAATCTTTAGACAGGTCTAAGAAAAGTGCAGCACAATAATCCTTAGCATCCAGTGCTTCAACAACGTCATTAAGAACCTTCAGTGAAGCAGTGGTTGTGCTGTGTTGTTTCCTGAAACCAGATTGATGTGGAGGTAAGATGTTAAATGAGTCCAGGTCATTTTTGATTTGAGAGTTTATCAGTTTTTCTAGAACCTTGGCTAAAATGCAGAGTCTACACCATAGGTCAGAACTAAATCAAGAGTGTGATGATAAGAATGAGTAGATGTGCGGACGTTTTGGGTAAAACCAAATGAGTCTATTAAATTATTAAAGGCTATGATTAAACTATCACTCTCAACATCCACATGAATATTGAAATCACCCATTATGATGATTTTATCAGTATTTAATAATAAGTCAGTTAATAATTCTGATAATTCAGACAAAAACTGAGAGTCAGCGCCTGCTGGACGATATATAACAACTAGTAAAAGTGGCTTTTCTGATTTCCATTTTGGATGAGAAAGACTGAGGGACAGTGATTCAAAAGAATCATAACTAATAACTGGTTTGGCATTAATCAATAATCCTGACTGAAAAATAGAAGCTACTCCTCCACCTCGGCCAGTTGTTCTAGGAACATGAACATTTAAATAATTAACAGGAGTGGATTCATTTATACCAACAAAATCCTCCTGTTGTAGCCAAGTTTCTGTCAGACACAATAAATCAATATGATGATCAGTTATCAGTTCATTAACTAACAGGGATTTAGAGGAAACAGATCTGATGTTCAATAATCCACATTTAATGATTTGATGATTTTGCTCTGGTAAAGTAACTGTGTTTATTTTAATCAGATTTTTATGGTTTATATTTTTAGAGCAGATTTTTGGTTTATTTAATTTGAGCCGTGGGCGAGTTGACACTGTTTCAATGTGGGGGTGGGTGGTGTACAGAGGAGAAGCAGCAGAGAGGTGGAGGACTACAACTCTGCTTCCTGGACTGGTTTCTACTGGACCGTTAATGGTCAACAACCTGGATGTCCAACTGAACCAGTTGAGTTTTAGAGAGAAGTTCTGCTCCACTGAAGGTGGGATGGATTCCATGTCTCTGCATCAGACCGGGTTTTCTCCAAAATGCACTCCAGTTGTCTACACATCCTACGTTGTTGTCAGAACACCACCTGGACGCCCAGCGGCTGAAGACGACGTGCGGCTAAACATGACATCGCTGGTCAGGTTGGGGTGGGGGGGAACTAGATGCAGACATTTTTGCTTTGTTTTGTTTTTTGTTTTTTTGAATGTCCAGAGGACCAGATTGAACTTTTTTGGATTTTTCTACCTGGATTATTGAGCAGCATCAGGACACAGTCAGACATGGTTTTTGTGAAGTTGCACACTGAAGCAACATTAATTTTAGTGATCTCTGATCTGCTTAGTCGAGTGTCATTTTCGCTGACGTGAATAATAATTTGACTGTATTTCGTCTTAACTTTAGCCTGTGCTTTCAGGTGGGATTCCACGTTTCAAACTATGGAGCTGCTGACAACGAGAGTGTGCTCCTCGCCGGGTGTCTCACGGAAAACCGATTTGAAAGTTGAACGGATCTGTGGTTGACCGAGGACTTAGTTTTAGTATTTTTTTCTTTGGACCATCATCCAGCGGGCCTGTGGTTCAGAACAGAGAAGTGGGGAAACTGATTTGAAACGTGGTTTTGAACGGGAGAAGAAGCATTTGAAACATCATTTGAAATGTCAACGGGTTGATGGTGAACCGGGGGTTTAGTTTTAGCTTTAGGTTTACTTTGGGCTGATACCCCGCCCGCGGGCCTGTGGTTCCGGGTTGCTAAGGGGAGGAAACTGATTTGAAATATGATTTAAAACAGAAGAAAACTCTTTTGAAACATCATTTGAAATGTGAACAGGTCAGTGGTGAACGGGAGATTTAGTTTTTTATCGTTTGGTTTACCACAGGTCGTCATCCAGCCGGCCTGAGGTTTCTGACTGCTAACGTGAGCTAGCATTAGTGGCTGTGCTCAGCCTACGGGCGCCGGGCTACTTAAAAGCACAGAGTCGAGCCTCCAGATCAGACGGCCTCTCCACCAGAACCAACATAGTAGAACATCGTTACGCGTACCATTATCTTCAAATGCGGTAGAACACAGAGCAACACAGAACATTCTTTAGAATAACATTTGGAAGAACCATGTGGGACTGTAAAGCAACAGTTTCACAGTTTTGTTGCACAGACGTCTTCAGACATTCCTGCAACATGTCTGCAGACGTCTCCAAACTGTCCGACAGTCTGAGTTTGGTGAAAGACAACCGGAGCCGCTGCACTGAAATCCAATTCCTGTTTCTCTTTCCTGCAGGCTGTCGAGAGGACGATGTCCACAGACTGTCGCTGTCATGGCGTCTCGGGCTCCTGTGCTGTGAAGACCTGCTGGAAGATGATGGCACCGTTCGGACGGGTCGGGGCATACCTGAAGGAGCGTTACGAGCAGAGTGTACAGGTGTCAGGCAGCTCCAGGAGGAAGACGAGGAGAAAAGACAGGCACCACACTGTGGACAAACACCAGCTCATTTACTTAAACAAGTCTCCTAACTACTGTGTGGAGGACCAGCAGCGGGGCATCGCTGGCACTAGGGGGCGCCGGTGCAACCGGACGTCTACTGGACCGGACGGCTGCACCCTGCTGTGCTGCGGCAGAGGATACAACACACACCTGGAGAGACACGTTCAGCGCTGCGAGTGCAAGTTCATCTGGTGCTGCTACGTCCACTGCAGGCGCTGTGAGAGCATGAACGACACGCACACCTGTAAGTGACTGCACACCTGGACAAACACCTGGAGTAACACC